GACATATATGACCTATATCGATTATCAATCGTACCTAATAAACACAACCAAGCCCTAATCCCTTTCCATCCATATATAGCAACATGTGAAAAAAATTATGTGTACATAGAGGCAGAATGCCCGAAGTTAAGCACCTTGTATCTGTGCGAAAAGAACGTGGGAACTCAAATACGAGCGGAGGAAGACTGCATCATAAAGCTTATCGCTAACCAAGTCTTAGAAGATTCCTGTAGATTTATCAATATTTCCTTGGCCAAAGAAGCGATGGAAAAACTGGACGATCAACACTTTGTGGTGTCCTTTCCCCATCCAACGAGAGTAGAATTATTCTGCGAAAGGACTGACTACACCTCGTTACAAGGAAGCTACCTGATTACCATTCCTATCAGTTGTTACTTAAGGACACAAGAATTTACAATCATTAACGATGACAATGAAATTAAAGGTCAGCCCCTAAAACTTATGAAAATTCCATATAATCTAAAAGAACAAATTTCATCCGCGAACCATATTCACCTTAACTCAATAAACCTTCAAGGACTTCACGACATTCAGGATCAAGTAATGCTCGAAACTCCAACAAAACTTATAAAAACTCAGTCAGACACCATATATCATACCACAATACCTTTTTACATTGTCATAATCAGTGTAGCAATATTCATCATTATAGCGCTCAGCTATAAACGATGGAGAATCACCACAGCAGAAAATCCGACACCTGAAAAAACTAAAACCCAAATTTACGAAGAAGTACAGAAGAAAAGATTCAAAGGACCCGATGCAGAATTCCCAGCAACATTTTCGCTCAACGTTCTCAAATAGTTGCTGGTCTGAGGGTGGAGGTGTTACATACATAGCCATAAGGAATATCGCATACGCAGCATTGACGTCGATGCGACCTAAATTAGAGGACACGAGGCGCAGTGGCACGAGGCACTAACCGCCGATGCTGCATAACGTGACCCGAGGCGTTATTAGGTGACAAAAACAATAGAAGAACATTCCAAATTCACACTTCGAATTGGATAGTTAGATTAGTTAGCAATTAAGATTTAATTTGTAATTTTTAGTATAATAAATAATTATAAGTAAATTGGTTTTTTTTCGAACCAACGGCTGTAGCAATCGTAATTAACGTCCATACCACGTTGAACACACCGGTTCTCGTCCGATCACCGAAGTTAAGCAACGTTGGGCGCGGTCAGTACTTGGATGGGTGACCGCCTGGGAACACCGCGTGATGTTGGCTTTTTGTTCATTTTTCCTTTTTTTTCACCGTAATGCTTCTTTATAACGGTTTTGTTATTTTTGTTTAATTAATTTGGTAATTACCCACACCGTGAACAAATTATTTTGTAAATATTATTATTTTTAATGAGAGATAAAGGGTTTGCTTTTAAGCCTAAGTTTCCAATTATAGTCATAATCATAACACTCGTAAGACTTATGATAATACAATAATTTATTAAGTAACTACTTTATGTTACCGATTAAAAATAACATAAGATTCAATTTAAATTCGACTGATAATTTATTCAAGACTTCAACCGTAAAACACTATAAATATGCAAATAATAAATTCTATGCAAAACTTGTTTCGTTACGCGCTTTGTTATTGTACCAGCGTTCAAAGTACTGATGAGTTGTTTCTACCATACGTCTATACTAATAGCATCAAGAGGAAAGATTTGTATTTTTGTATCTATTGGAATATCTCAAAAAATACTTGTCCGATTTCAAAAATACTTTCACCATTAGAAACGTTATCAGTGTGTAACATAAACTATGTTCTTTATTACTTTTTCATTTTACCCGAGTAAAGTCGCGATTAACAGTTAGTTTATAATAAAACCAATGGTGGGAATATTGTGCAAATGAGCCATTCGATCATCAAAGTAATAAAAAGGTATATTTAACTTCATTTGTTTCCAAAAACAATTACAATAGCTAAAAACAGTTCATAAGTTTAATAATGATCAAATTAAAGTTACACTTAACATCATTTATTACAGATAAGGTGAAATTGTTAATATAAAGAAGTTATTCACTCCCTAAGCTTAAGGTCTACCCAGTGACCGCCTTTGATTCGAAGATTGAAATTGTCGGTGGCCAACTGCACTGGAATGCTGGTCTTCTCGCTCGGGGCCAGCTGCACGTTCAGTAGCAGCTGGTACAGCAGCACCTTCACCTCACACAACGCAAACCTGGAACCTGGACAAATAAAATACAATTTATGTACACTTGGGCGTGTCTTTATTTTATCTGTGACTAGCTGTTCCCATTCGACTTCAACCGTATGAAATTATAAAAAAAATATTTTATTGTCCACATTGTTCAGGTTATCAATTGCTAATGACATGATGTCAAGCCATGGCAACCTTGCTTCCTTGATGTTTGCAACAACTTATGGTCTCTTTCCCACATTAGGGTTTTTATCCAAAATATTTACCCCTAAGTCTAACGGCCTGAAAATATATAACCTAAAGCGTGACGTAAGTGTAGGGCTCTTTATTAAAAGGAGTTATTCGAAAATATGCTGTGATTGCTGACATCTTAAGCAACAAAGAAGTGTGTGTTTACGCTTTATTACTTTAGTATAGATAGTATAGATAATCGAATGAAGTAAGAATACTAACCGATGCAGTTTCTGGGCCCGAGACCGAAGGGCATATAGGTGAAGGGTTGGATGAGATGCTTCCGCTCCTCAGAGAAGCGCTCCGGGTCGAAGTGGAGAGGTCGCGGGTAATACACGGGGTCGCGGTGGATGGACCATGTCGGGATTATGATCGACTCACCTTTGCGCACCTAAAACATTTGACAATGTAGTTAATTAGTTAATTAGTCAACATAAAAGAAGCAAAGCGTGTCAAAACAATAAGAAAACAACTACCGGATATCCAAAGTTTTTGTTATCACAAAAAGTGAGATAAGATTCGGGATATACTACTATATTAGTTCGTATCTCTATAAAATCATTAAAAATTTTATCTTATAGTATCTTGGTACGTAAACAAGTTTACTTACGACATAGTCTTTCGTTGACTTTTCATTACATTTTCCTAAATTGTAATCCTTGACACAGAGTCTGTCCATCGTCACGCCAGGAGGCCACAATCTCAACACCTCTAAAAAAACAAGTTCACACTTTTGTTTTTACAAACCTTAACTAATAAGTCAATGTTTGCAATTGTATTGCAGCAGTGCACTAAGCATAGCAATTACATTTAGCTTACCCGAAACAACCATGTCCAAATACTTCAGTTCTTGTATGAAGTTGAAGTCAATTTTGCCGTTGTTTTTGAGATGGCACTCCTTTATCTCTTGGTGCAACCGCTCCTGCACCTCCGGGTTGGCGGCCAGCTCGTGCAGCGCGAAAGACATAGCCGTCGATACCGTGTCGAAGCCCGCGATGAAGAACAAGATCACTTGCGCCACCAGGTCATTGTCCGTCCACACTGAAACATAACATTTATTAACTAAGACAAAAGCCTAGCTGTATCTAATCACTGATACTATTGTGAGGATTGAAATATTGCTTAAAATAAAAAGAACATATGGTAAAGAGAAACCTCTACGTATAAGAAAGGTAAACAAATCTTTAAAGTGTGATATTAAGAACTTACCGCGATCGATGTTCTTTCTTCCAACAGCTGACTCCTCGACAGTGGCAAAGCCAGCGTCCGTATCCTGACCACTCCTGTCCTCGTGTCTTAAGTTACCTTAAATACTTCGGAAGTGATGAAAGATAGTCAGAATTAAATTTATTGAAATTGTAACATGGCGGATTTAATTTTAATATTCATTAATTCGAAATAGATGTAGGGAATGCACAAATGTTGCAAGACTAGTCCGATTCCATTGTATAGATAAAATTACAAATGACAGGCGTGAAATCCGGCTCTGAAGATGCAAATATGCCATTACTCCATTTTCTTCACTTATCTACTACCTTTTTGTATTTCAGTACAGCGATAGTTATTATTTTTTGTTACAAATCCTACTAATATTATATATGCGAAAGTTTATTTGGATGTTTGTTACTCAACACGTAGGATCTCCAAAACTGTATAAAGGATGTCGCCAAAATTTGGTATACTTGTAGAACATAGTCTGGAAAAACACTTAATAGTAGCTTATTGAAGATTTTTGATCACGGACAAAGTCGTAGACGACAGTTAGTACACAAATAAATTCAGATACCTTTCTTGGCTTCCATCAACAGATGGATCATGTCAGGCCGGATGATTTGTTTTGTTTCGCGATCGTTAATTGTGTTCAGCACCAAGTCCCGGAAGAAAAATCTTGTTTCTTCGGAGAACAGAGTTATCCGGAACACCTGTGACATAAAGTTCTTCTTTAAGGAGGAAAATTGGAAAAGAAGTCGGTAGCGCCAGAGGAACCTGTTCTTTCCGTGTTTCTTCAATTGATAAGAGTATTTTATCTAATCTGTCTAGTTTGTCAGAAGTCAAATTAAAAAAGAGGTATTTGAAATGTACCCCAGTCGATCATGAACCATTTGTCAGATAAGTGAGTAAAAAGCAGCTTATTCTAACATAAATAATCATTATTGAAAATACTTATTTATTTACCTTCGAAATCTTTGGCCAAGAAGTTAGTGTAAAGAATTTGAGAAGTTGCTTAAAGTTGAATGTGGCAGCCTCCTTGCCCTTCTTGTAAAAAGTATTGTTCTCTTCTAAGTGAGAGTCGACTTGGAGGCCGAAAGCACAAGTAGCGATGACGTCATTAGCATAGCGAGTCGTCAAATCCTTACAGTCTACGTGGATTGAATTATCTACAAAATAACATTATTAGAAAGGTATTAGACAACCAGCATTTTCAGCCTAAAGTCATAGTTTCAAATTAAAATTGCCTACTTCCTGATTTTTTTATTTTCATTCTTAAGGAGTTAATCATCTTATCGCCAGTTTCGACCATGAACGGCACCATCGAGCGTATCTTGGAACTGGTGAAGGCTGGGCTTAGAGTCGATCGCATCTCCTTCCATTCTTCACCTGAAAAAATAATGTAATTTTTAGGTTATAAAAGTCAAGGTCCTTAATGTTAGTCATCTTTCCCCTTATCCTTACATTGTGATTTTAAAAAACATTTTTTAACTAATATTTTCTATCAGCCTATATACATTGAAACAAAACGACTTGAGAAATTTAATAATTTACTTTTAAAGAAGATTAAAAAACAGAGTTCACTAAATACCCTTCAATGAAAACAAGTTTCTTCCAAAGCACGAGTCAATTTTCTCGTCAACAAAATTGCGATGATCCAGAAAATGTTCAAAGTCCTTCACAGTTATTGTCTTTATCAGGTCGATGTCCTTTATCATCACCACAGGATCAAGAAATTCATATTTTCCTACAAATCTGTAAAATGGAAAGAAACGATTGAAAACAATAGTGTGTGAATAACACTTCCAAATAATTAAATATAACACATTATGTTAACTGCTTGCTTTTGCAATTATAGCCGAGCTCTACAACAAGTAGCTGACACAATCTAGTTTCATATTTAATTTCAGCAGTCAAAAGAAACCTAGAAAAGCACGTTACCTATCTCCAGCGCCGACGTTGTAGATCCTCTGCATGTTTTTCGTGAAATGCTCCATGCGGGTGGCGATGCGCGCCATGTTGCCCAGGACCGGGAGCGGGGTGAGGTTCTTCACGCCGCAGCTGCTGAACCTTGAGTACACATGCCGCAAGTACAGCGCAAGCGCCACCGCGACCGCCGACAGCAAGAACACTAGCGCCATCTGACAAACAAAAACTACGTCAGCAAAGAACTTTACGGATATTAAGAATTTATGGAGTGCAGAAATCGCTCCTAGAAACTACTTCCACCGTTCGGAAATAAATCTGAATGTTAAATTACGAGATTTCAAATGTAAATTCAGACCATTAGCTTTTTTTTTATCTCAAATAATGTTATCTGCATACGATATTATTATTATGTATTTATAATCACATAATTTTTGTCGACTCATACCTTTATTATATAAAAACAAATTACTGTTTTGCCTACAACTGTTTTTACACGAATATTATTTTTGTTTTGACTATTATAATGTGATTGTTAATTACACTGACTATTAGGGTTAAGTGATCAACTTGTGACGCATCTTAGGTTACTCGTCTTAGCAAGATTCAATTAAAAATGTTCCCTGTTGTCTTCCACCCTACGTAAACGCAATAGTCTTGGAGTTACGGAAACCTCACCTACTACTAATTAATTGTATGTTGGTGTTTGTCAAAGAAGTAATAAAAATTTTACAATGCTACATTAACATAAACATATTCGCTCTACTATTTATTTATAGTTCCGTTTCAATTTTTTAATATCTACTGCCTTATCGATTTCTAACACAAAAAATGATTGTCTCGGTAAAGGTCTGTGTCATTCAATGATTATTAACATGATGATTTTTTAACACAGACAGACAGTCACAAATATTGTATAGTTTCGTATTTTTTAACTAAAACCTAGAGATATATCATTGTTCAAACAAGAATTGTTTAGAAAACGAAACTAAGAGTTTATTCAAATTGACGTAATTTAAGATAAAATAAAAAAATCCAAAAAAGAACACCACAGGTTTTGCTAAAGATTTAAAGTAAATGAAACGTAAGCTTATTTTTAAAAAACTGAAAACTCACGGTAAATCAAAACTTCACACACACATACTTATACGTTGAAAATTAAACAATGACAAACAGAAAAAAACAAAGAGAACCTGCTGCTGTTCGATAAAAACTTACCTTGCAATTTTTTTTAATTGTGATTAAGGAAAATAATAAAAACATATTATATGATTGGCATCATTTTCGTTGCATTAAATACACAAAAAAAAAACATACAGACGAATTGAGTACCTCCTTCTTTTGGGAAGTCGGTCAAAAATCGGATAACGTGAAGCGTTGTCGCTTCTACGGAATATAATCTTTGTACAATTTAGTAAATGAATTACCTTTTGCAGCATCCAATTTGCTACACAAAAATATCAGACATTGTAATTACAGATATAAAATAATACTCACTGTTTTTTTTATTTATTTCGCTTATGTACTTCAAAATATAGCAACAAAAAAATTATTGTTTCTTTCCGGTAGCTGCGGACGACACAACTGATCGAGTACAACACATTATATACGTCTTTGTATATCTCTATATACATCCAGTTCCACAATGATAAATATTAAAAAATAATAAACAAGATTAGAGTACTTAACATAAAGATAACCTATACATATTTGTGACATCTACTTAATTTAAAACAAGCCTCTACGATTTGTTATTATAATTTGTTCCAAAAAACAATCGCAATTGAAACATGTAACGGTAATGTCTTATAAATCTCAGTACGAGTACTTTGTAGTAGACAAATCATTAGCTTCAATAAAATTTTATTGTTTCGTTATCAATAAATGTATGAAAATACAATGAAAAATAAATCTTGTTAAAAAAATGACGGCAAGCCACGAGCCATTATTAGTGTTAAACATATATACGAGTAACTATATTGAAAAATAACATATCGTGATATATTTAAAATGATTGTGCAATATAGAAGACACTTACATAATAAATAGACGAGGCATAGTGAATAAAACTTATTACCGGTACTTTCTTTGAGAGGTAATATCAGTCAAGTCGTGTATCGTGTACTATTATTATTATAAATTCGAATTTTAATAAGCTCCATCTTTTGTTATAAAATAAACTAAACAGTATTGCAAAATAAAATGTAACTAAACATAAACATTAAAATATCATTAAACGACTCTTTTTGGCAATAATTTCCATGTTTTTGGGATCTAACAATAAATAATGTCAGTGATGATTATTGGACAACTGCCTCCTCTATATATTTGAAACTCTTTATAGAATATTAATGAGTTCAATCGTTATCTATATTTTTCTGAAATTCCTTCGTCATCATCAGCTTTTACTTGTATTTATCGACGTAGACGAATTACGATTAAAGATGATTCAGTGGAATGTTTCAAATTTAAATTATCTTGTGAGTGCATACCTATGCTTTGTTTATGTCGATTTTTTTATAAGGTGGCGAGCGAGCGGCCATTTGGAGTCGCCGAAGTAAGTGACAGCTGATATCTACAACTAGCTGTTCCCTGCGGCTTCATCCGCATGAAATTATAAAATAATCTTTTATTGTTTACATGTGTCAAATTGTCTATTGCAAATGTCAAAATGGCATGACATGACAAAACTTGGCAATCTTGCTTCCTTGATGTTGGCAACAACTTGTGGTCTCTTTCCCACATTCGGGTTTTTATCCAAAATATTTACCTTCTATGTTTAATGGTGTGCAAATATATAGCCTAAAGCGTGACGTAAGTGTAGGGCTTTTTATTAAAAAAAGAATTATTCAAAAAATTTGCTGTAATTGCTGACATCTTAAGCAACAAAGAAGTGTGTGTTTACGCTTTATTATAAAAGTATAGATTGCAGATGTGTTGCCTACCATTAATTAATGTAGGAGAAGACGCACATAAAGAGGACATTTCCCCTTCCTATGCGTATCCTCCACCATCAGACTCAGTCCCAGAGAAAGAGGATTGAAAGATGGACATTAGAACTAATGGTAATTATATGGTGGAAATTATAAGACTCACATAGTCAATCTTTACCTTATCTTAACGAAAAAAGGAACACCAACGAAAAAAACTTCATTTACGATTTTACGGTCAACTAATTGTAAAAAATATTTAAAAATTACAATCAACAAAGCATTCATGTTTTTGTTAGTCTTTTGATTTAGTACTTATAACCTCATGATTGAACCGAGGTCACCGAGACTGCAACCAGCAAAAACTTCATGTTATTATCGTTTAGTTTTTATCGCCAATACAAAAATATTTTTTACAAGCATATTGACACCCTCTCGCTTTCTATCAATAAAACTAAGATCCCTTTACATTTTTAATCCAATGTTTTGGCAATAATGTTTTGGCGCTGAAATTTTTGCGACATTTCACATCAAGTGTCAATTATTTAAATATTATTGTTCTATATTTTACAAAGACAGATTATGTATAAGAACCTAAATAATACGCGTTTTAAAAGTTTAATTAATAGTAGAAACTCGTGGAGAAGTACTTGTGAGTACATGCCAGTAGGTTGCAGTTCCGTCAATACAGATAAGATATACTCAACTATCAGTCCTCGTGTACTATAATTATGTACACTGACTAATAACTTACCTGACTGTACATGTAATGTCCCGCAGTTTTACACGTCACGTAAAAAGCGCGTATAGGATCGAACAAGGGCTATTAATTTCAAGTCCAGTGTTTACTGCACCACTTTCGTTCTAGGATTCGATTCGATGGGTACATTTCTAGGTATATTCATTCATAGGTTTCTAATTCGATGTTCCAAGTTGTTTATCATTAACAACTGCAACAAAATCTTCCACTTTATCTTGTATATAGTTATTAAGTGCAGTTGCACAAGGACGGTGTGTATTGTGTATGTAGAGACGTCAGATGAGTGTCGTCAACTCTATATAACAAGTTGGTCCTACGGAGGCGTTGCATTTGCAATAAGGACTTTGTTTATTAGTTCTGACTGAAGTGAAGTTATACAAGTGATACAAAAGGAGGATAATTTCTTTTGCTAAATAATTTGAATGTCGATACTTTGTTGAGGTACAAATTTGTTTATAGTTTTAATTGTATAAATACAATGTAAAATAGTAAAGTAAGTAGTTAAAATATTATCATTTTCGAAATCAAAGAAGAGATAATTACGCTTTTCTTCATTAATATTTTACTGTTTATTAATATAATGTTTTATTATAAAGATATCTTGAATTCTTAAACATCTCTATGTATTTTAATAAACACTAACTACGGATGTAATTACATATTTTTTGCAGTGAACCGTGCAGTGTAAACAAAACATTGTTCCTTAACTAATAATTAAATGTAATTCGACCTCTAACTGCACACTTCATAATATAACAAAATCTAAATGAAGCCAGTCCTGTATTATAGTGTTTTTATGATATTTTCTCATTACCAAATGTTTTACGCAACTGACTCATGGTGAAGTTTTTTGTGAGTGTGTTTGTTTTTATGTGTAAGTTCCATTGTGACCTTGACCTTCTATAGCATAAACGATTAATTTGATGTCAACAAATGTGATGAAATAACAAGGGGGCAGGGGGAGTACAGCGAGGATTTTAGGATTTACTCGAGCGCCTACAGCCAACAAGCGATCCTTGCACTCTAGTACTCCCGCCACGTAGAGCCACCATACAGAGCCGCGCTTTTATACCACCCAGTCAGAAAAGAAAATAAAAAATCATCATTTATATCACTTATTCAACATTATCAGATTGACAGGTTAATGTTAATTATGTTCAGAAAAGTTAATTTTTCTTACAATTTTGTAACTACCCAATTTCATTACGTAAATTGCAAAGGGTCAGATAATGTGATAGTTGACTTTTAATTAGCTTGTCTTAAACTGATGCGCTAGATAACGTTTAACAATATTTTCTTTTTTTTACTTCATGTCGGATGCTTTATAGAAACCGTCGTAAGACCTGTCATGATGTATGGATCTGAATGTTGGGCAGTAAAAGGGAGGGATGAAAGGAGAATACATGTGGCGGAAATGCGACAGTTAAGATGGATGTGTGGGGTAACACGATTGGATAATATACGAAATGAGTATATTAGAGGAAGTTTGAGAGTAGCCCCAGTTGTTGTGAAAATAAGGAGTAAAAGGTTAGAATGGTATGGGCATGTTATGAGAAGGGATGAATCGCATGTAACAAGAAGGACGTTAGTTATGAATGTGGAGGGGTACATCGGTAGAGATAGACCTAGAAAGAGATGGATGAATTGCGTGAAAGGTGACATGATTAAGAAGGAAGTGATGACTGAGATGACGGATGATAGAGTGCTTTGGAGGACGGAAACCCGGTGCGCCGACCTTACGGGAGTAGGATAAGGCAGGGGAGATGATGATCGGATGCTTTGTAGACTTTGCCCCTATATTATATGTGTTGTGAAAGTACACAAGATTTCCTACGTTCAACAGCCACACTTGAGTAATTCCCAAAACCTTCCCTTAGTACACTCAGTAAGCTTTTTTTTTAGGTAAAAAATAGTGTATTTAACATTTTCATGTTAAGGGAACAAAATACCGTTTCCATTACGTTAGATAAAACATTGTGCTTTACAAGAAACATATCTTCTACGCAGCTAATATTGAGTCTACTTTATATCTCTTCGATTAGTTGTTAGTTTTTAAGTACTCTTCATTTTATCAACACTCTCCACTACATTAAGATAACTTATCAATTTCGTCGTGTTAGCAAAATGACAATGCAATTTGTTAACAATGAAAACAAATTGTCATGTTTTGATAAGCGTATTTGTGCTATAAGGGTTGAAGACCTACATATTCATTGTTTTTGTCATCCTTTGTTAAACTCAACATTTATTTATCTTTACACCTGACTGTAGCCCCAGCATCTGACCCTAAGTTAAGAACAACTACACCTTGGTAGACCAAGCTAGTCTAATATGTATTATGTACAAATGAAGTTAGAAAATCAAAAACTCAGTACACGGTGGAGATTTAACACATGACTTCTTTACACGTAGTCAGCTTACCCCTGCACTACCGAGGATCCTAGCCTAGCCTATTTGTTTTAACAGATGTTGCTGCTAGTGATCTGGGTGTTGACTGCTAGTTGCGCGGCGTGGCTGTACTTCCGGCAGGTGTACTCAAGGTTCAGTCGGTACGGCGTGCGCTCGCTGCGCCCCCTGCCGCCCGTCGGCAACATGGCCAGGATAACTTTGCGACAGGAGCACTTCTCAGACAGCATCGAGAAGCTATATGATGCTTTCCCTGAAGACAGGTTTAGTGTGATGTTTTACAAACAATGGTATCTTAGAATAATTATTTCATTTTTCATTTAACATGACTTATTGTTGTGATATGAACATCTGCGATCACAAATTTGAAGTTCATTGTCGTTAATTAGTTCCTGGCATTAATAGAATAAGAGCCTACAAATAGTAAAAAAAAGCGATATTTCATATAGATTCGTGGGCAGATACGAGTTCTTAAACCCGATGGTGATGATTAAGGACATCGAGCTGATAAAGAAGATAGCAGTGAGGGACTTCGAGTACTTCCTCGACCATCGCGCCTTCGTCGATGAACAATTCGACCCTTTGTTTGGACGGAATCTGTTCGCTTTAAAAGGTAAATTAATTAGCATAAGGGTGATTCTATTTTTGCTTTAACTCATTCTATTTCAGGTCACTAGTGGATTTACAGTATTAGTATACTAGGAGTTTAAGAATTGCTGCAAAGTACAATAGATAATTGCATATTTAACTGATTTAAATTGTAAATGATGCAAGGGATCTATTACTAAGTAATTGTGCAATACACTTTGCTACGAGACAGATCATACATGCAAAATAGGTTTAACTTGATATGTTCGCAGTTAAAGTGTTTATGTAAACAGGTCAGGAGTGGAAAGACATGCGGTCGACTTTGAGCCCCGCCTTCACAAGCTCCAAGATGCGGCTCATGGTGCCGTTCATGGTCGAAGTTGGTGAGAAGATGATGGAATCCTTGAGGGTAAAATTAAAGAATTCTAAAAGTAAGTTGTATCAATTTTAAAATAATCTAATATTTTTTTATACAAAGAAAATGCTATTAATTATTATACTCTCTAAAGTCATATATATATTTATAGAGAGAGAGACAGAGAGAGAGAAGAGAGAGTTCTTTCTTGTCAGCTAAAACATTTTTAATTTCTTTAAGCTATCGTCGTCGACTGCAAGGACTTGACGACGCGATATACGAATGACGTAATCGCCTCCTGCGCTTTCGGTCTGAAAGTGGATTCCCACACGAACAGAGACAACGAGTTCTACAAGATGGGAAAAGTCGCTTCTACTTTCGACTTTAATCAGTTGCTCAAGTTTCTGTTGCTCATTTCTTGGCCCAACATTTCAAAGGTCAGTTACACAATCTTAACTTTACTCGATTTTTTCCACATGTATAACAAACTAACTTTCGGCCGCAACTCCATCTGCGTGGAATTAAAAAAAAAGAGAAGCCTATGTATTATTGTTAAATAACATTAGCAAAAATACAAACATGTCATTGATAAAATGTTCTTTTCAGGTTCTTCGCGTGAGTCTTTTCACTTCGGCGACAAAGAACTTCTTCATAAACCTGGTACTGGGCACTATGAATGATCGCGAAGCCAAGCAGATCGTCAGACCTGATATGATACATCTATTAATGGAAGCCAAGAAAGGTAATGAACGACAAATGTGAATTCACTTCTATAGCCAATCAACGCCATCTAGTTTTTGAACGCGCAACCATAACAAAGTCAATTCTAATTACCATGCTATTAAATTGTTTAGGTCGTTTGCTACACGAAGAAAAATCCGCCGTTGACACAGATGCAGGCTTCGCTACTGTCGAAGAGTCTTCTGTTGGCAAGAAGAATGTTGAACGTGGTAAGTACTTGCATATTTAACCAATACGATTCGTCTTATAAACTATTTTTTTAATTATTGACATCGTTGTCCACAATTCGGGGGTAAGGTTGACTTGAACTTTGCGAATGCAGAGTTGCGTTTTGATAAATTTTACTAACATGATTGCGTTTTAGTGTGGTCCGACACTGACCTGGTGGCACAGGCGGTGCTGTTCTTCATTGCGGGCTTCGAGGCGATCTCCGCGGCGATGTCGTTCTCGCTTCACGAGATGGCGCTGCACCCTGACGTACAGGAGCGTCTGTACCAGGAGATACGCGAGTACGACGACAAGAACAAGGGAGCAATCGATTACACCTCAATACAGAGCATGCCCTATCTGGATATGGTCGTGTCTGGTTAGTTAACAATATAAAACGCTACTTTCATTAGGAACATTTAGAATTAGATTATTGGTTATATAACCTCTATGAATATTTCTTTTCAGAGGTGCTCAGACTGTGGCCCCCCGCTTTAGCATTGGACAGACTTTGTGTCAAAGATTACAGCTTAGGAAAAGCAAATAAAAATTGTAATGTTGACTATGTGGTAAGTCTTTTTTATGGAAATGTGGTTTTAAATTCAATATACTAATTACTTTTCACACACTTTAAAATTCAGTTTTGCTATACTTTTTTTAAACATATACTTGATTTAATTAAAGTCAACGGCCCCAGCGTAAGAAATATTTCTTAGGTGCGGAAGGGCGAGTCGATCATGATCCCGGCTTGGTCTATTCACCGCGACCCTGCGTACTACCCGCGACCTCTTCACTTCGACCCGGAGCGCTTCTCTGAAGAGCGCAGGCACCTCATCAAGCCTTTCACCTACATGCCCTTCGGCCTCGGTCCCAGGAACTGTATCGGTTAATATTTTTACTTCATTCAATTGCTACATTATCCGAAGAAATGCCGTAGCTTACAATTTTGAATTGTTTGTATCCAGGTTCCAGGTTCGCTCTGTGTGAGGTGAAGGTGTTGCTGTACCAGCTGCTGCTGCACGTGCAGGTCTCCACGTGCGAGAAGACTTGCATCCCGGCTAAACTATCCCCAGACACTTTCAACATCAGGTTGAAAGGTGGACACTGGCTGAAGTTCACTCTTAGGGAGTAAACAAAAGAACCAGTTTGAAATAAATATGTCAAGTTTAAGATTTATTAACATTTTTTTTATTTTTTTAATAAGTATAAACAGTGAAAATAATGTTATTTAAATAAAGTTTTTTTTTTTATTGACAAATTGTTTATTTCAGTAATATTTACTGCCATCTTGTGACCACTTGTGAAAATGCTTCAAAGATTTTCAGGATATCGAAAACAGATGGCGCTTTTGAATATTTTCACCTCACGCACAACTAGATGTCGCTGTAATGATATTTTTTTACATGAAACTAAGAATTAGAATAAAGAATAAAATGAATGATGAAATTACTGCAGATGGCAGTAGTGTTCAAATCTCTTATGTAATTCTTTTTGTGCTTTAAAGATTTGTCAAACAATACACTCCCTAACATCTCGTTTTATTTAAATGCTAAGTAAACAGAGCATTGTCAATATTTAAAGGTTTATCAACTATTAAGACGCATTTCTACTAATGTCAGATAATTATAAAGAAATAAATTAAATCACTATACTTCTAAATATTGAGATAATATTCTCAGAACTACTTCAAAGTTAAAAATAACACTCGTGCAATGCTTGACCTTTTTTTCTGAAAAACTCTTTAATACCAACAATACTTTTTAAATTCGTCACAATGTACTTGAAAGATCGGATCACAGTGAAAAAAACATTTTTCATTGTCCTGGTTAATAAAGTTTTTAGCGCCTTTCAACTAATTTTATTTGATCAAGTTATGCATCAAACATTTTGAATAGGTTGAGAAAACGCACTAACCAAAAACTATATGTTAAAAAGAGTAACACGTAAAATTACAGGATTTTTTTCCGGCCACTTGTCTTATTTAACTCCACTACATATGAAAGGTGAAATATATGTCGAGGTTAAAATAGAATAAAACAAAATGTCACATTCATAATTCGTGTATTCGTCATCAATAACATGGAACAATCAGTAAACATAAAATTCTCTTCAATTGCACATTGGTCGCCGTCTGACTTACACTATGTCAAGTAAACTTTACACGTCTCTAGACGACATCAAATAAACTAAACATAAAACTAAACAAATATACTGGAAACGAAACAGACTTTACGTGTACTTATAGAAATAAATATAATCTATAAAATATTTAGAAAAAAAAAACAAATAAAATGTAAATATATTATGCACCAAATCTTGTCTATGATACATAACTTTGAAACGAAAGATTTTACAATAACATTTATAAAACGGAACGCTTATTTAAATATCGATTTTTATGAATATCTTCATAAATAACTCTATAAATAGCAGTTAAAATCTGCCTAACCCTTACGTATATGCGTTTTGTCTTATAAGTCAACAATTGGCCGTTGTCGGAGCGCTATCGTCGTAGTTTGGTAATAAAAACAATAGATGAATGTTCAGTCAGAACTGGTAAGTCGTATGTAGTTGGAAAGCCGTGAATCACGGTGTTGTGTCACTGGGTGAATAAACTGGGCTTTTATATGAACACAACTGTGACATCGCAACCCTGTGACGTACGATGTGGCTATACCATTGAATCGAATGATTTCACTTTACTTCGATGACTATGATTGTATATTTCTTTTAAACAATTGTAAATCGAAAACAAAGCCGTGTAAATATATGTTTTTGTGATATTTGGACTAGATATCAAACATTATGTATTGCCCGTATACTCGTACAGCAACTATGTAAAACTTTATCAAAACACGTTCCGACATAAACGTGAGTCTTCATATAACAAATAGAATAAGACACAGACTTTGTACTGCAAGTTTTTTTTTCAAATCCTGTATACAATTGACTTTTTGTAAGACGCAAAAAATAGCGCCTAAAACGATAGATTGTTAAAATTAATAAAATGAATAGAAAATTATTAAAACCTTTGAAACTTATTGTAAGCTATAAAATGTAACTCTACAAGTACTAAATAAAAATGTTAAACATTATCCACCTGTCTCAGCTTGTATTCTTAACAAAAAATCTCAGTTATGAAGACAAACACAATTAAAATGATTCATGTACTATTTTAGATCACAGCAAATGCCTGAGAGTCATAAACTTAATTCTAATACTAACTCGGTACAATAAGATTGTCGCAACACAATTTTCTTTAACCTCAACCGACTTCTACAACTTAATCTTTGGCAGATCTTGTCTCGTGTCATTAGCTTATTGCACATCGCGCCAATAACTTCACATAACATTATCTTAATACTAATAATTAATTTAACACTGAGAAAGAATTTTATTAATAACTATATAAAAATATACTCTAATGAATCGTGATAAAATATGAACTTTGATAGATGGAAATGGTAAAGATAAATTCGAAATTAAGTACAATATAAATTATAAACGATCAGTAAGTATGGCAACTCGAGCTTGTCTACACTAGCGAATACTTAACCTAGCGGAATGTGTGCAGTTTGTTCGAGCGTACGTCCCAACACGTGCTCGCACGTTCTCATACGACACTTAGCACTAACGGTAACAACAATTAAACATCAAAAATATTATATCAAAATTTGTAAGATCTAAACAACCTTTAAAAGTTCGAAACACCTCGACGACGCGACGTGACTTCATAAAGCCATCGGAAAAATACAGTAAAAACCACTTAAAAAAATAATATGGACACTTCGGCGGATAATTGACCGGAGTCCCCCCCCCGGCGTCCCGCAACCCCCCTTGCCACGCACACAACCATTGCACAACTCCCTCCCCCCTCGCACGCTCGTCGAGTGTGCTACCAACCAACATTGTCACACATATATCGAATCCTTAACCATTTCCAAACTTAGCCTTACTGCACTCCAATACTCAATCCGAGCCATACACTAATTTGTTTCAATTTCAATACATTTACATAGACATTGAAAACATCGTTGCTAGTTAATTGAGCTATAACAATACTTCATTCCAACATCTCCTCGGAGACACCACGTCGACATAACTCCTTCCCTCTGAGCAGCATCAGACATTATTAAACCTACAATTCACAACACGGACTAATGCAGTGACATATCATGGACGTCGAACTCGGACTTCACTTTGATGAAGTTAGGGTTGTCTGTGGTGAAGTCGGGCCCCTTGTGGCCGAACTGGTAGACGAGGCGCGCGGTGGGCACGGACACCAGCACCGACTGACGGTAGTGGTAGCGCATAGCGCGGCTGAACTTCTCGAATGTCATGTTGTCGTTCTGCTTCATGGTGCCCCACAGCTTGGCCACCTCGTCCGGCTTCACGAACCTGCGACAAACAAATTCAATATTAAATATATGTTTTAACATTTTAAATATCAAATTAAATATTTTACTCTTTCATAAAGTAGTATGCTATTGGTGAAAGAATTTTTAGAATCGATCGAGTTAAGTTTCAAAACAAAGTATTCATTTTTATAAGGTTAATATCGGTTGTTAGTTTAATTTTTATGCATTACTCATTTAATATTTATTGGAAATAATTGTACAAATAAGTTAAAGATAATCTCAAAGAAATCATAGGCCAGTAGTAAGTGAACAAAGCTATAGGTTACACAAGGCGCGCAGTGAGTAGAGCGTTATCGCCTAACAACCCCGCTTGCATTCAACCTCGATAACACCAGTGCCAGTGTCGATGTCGAGCTAATCGTAGATATTTATAGACTCATCTACACAGACAGTTATTGCTCAATTTTCTATTGATCACAGAAACAATTTCTTTCGTGTTTTATTCCGCATTCAAGGTCCCCGACGCAATCGAGGTTGTCCTGGCCGATAGTCCTTACCGATGTCAATACAAAAGAAATAATTGCAACAATAACAAGTAACACTTTATTATCATTAAGATAGTCATCTTAAATAAATATGTTTATCTAGCGGTCTTTTGTACTTGTTTAAAAGTTTAAACTAATTAATTGTTTTTGCGTGAAAATTGCACAAATTGAGTCATCAACCCTATTCAAGCATGACTATCAACCCACCGTTTAGTTTTATTCTATATTTTGCTTAAAAAAACAATTCATTATCCTTTAAATATAGTGTTTACATTGTTTTGGACTAGATAAAACATGACATGCAATGCGCGTCGGCGCTCGAATCAATTCTTGTAATAACTAATAATATATTCCTTCATATAATTTGCCGGTCATTAAATAAATTCTCAGATAGACGTACTTATATAGATGCGCGCAAACGTAATGGTAACTGGTATTCAATAATCGTGTCAAGTTCTGATGCAAAATGTCCAGATAATTGTGTCGGAGTCAAGGCGCACTTGTTACCGCGGCCAGACCGAGCCAGTCTCTGCCAAACTCATACACAATTCACAATACTCTGCTCATACGTTTACTGAGAAATACGGTAAGTGGATTAGTAAAATAAAATATTTTTATTAGAGAACTTGAGAACACAATATTGTAAACAATATTTAACAAAGATAAGACATCCCTTTGGTGAACTGTTCATTATTATTCGAATAATTTAGACGCTTAGTATAAAAGTTTTCTATTTGTCACACACTGCAGAGTGTTCAAAAATAAATTTAGTTTATTTGTCATGGAATAGCTACAAAATATCAAATGCATTAAATAAAAATAGAATTTTAAAAGAGTAAAAAATACATTTTTAATTTCAAACATGACTTTAAAGAAAATGTTACATCAAAATGTATATTTTCTTTATAATCTATAATTCAATATATTTATGGTTATTTGTTTTTAATCGAGAAAACGTACTTGAGAATTAATAAATAAATATCACATTTAAGGATTAACAAGCGATCGTAAAAGTTTTATGAAGGTGTGAAGTATCGCGGCTGCGACTGCTCAGCGGAGATATAGACATGGAGACCAGTAGACTTTCAATATGATTCACAAATAACAAACGAAGAATATGCATGCTTAAATTACTTAAATAGTTACAATTACACTCTAGATGTTACCAATGAGGGTACATGTGTAATTAGATCGAGATGATGAAATAAATAATCAACCACGATCATGGCAAACTGGATTGTAAATAAATATTTAGCAGATGATCTTGTTGTGAGAATTGATAGTTTGCATTGCAGTCCAATGTTACAACGGCACGCGAATAAGTAGCGCCAACTTAGTCGTATAATGAGACAATGAAAATAAAATGTTGCTAATCGTAGGACCCACGGCCAATGCTATATTTGGCATCGGAATTATACAATTCATAAATAAATTATATAAACACTCACAAGTAATTTTGATAATACATATTATGTAGGGAAATAATCTATGAAATTCAAATAAATGAAAAACTAGGTATGTGAAGAGACAATTTAAAGTAAAAATATTACTTCATTTGTATTTATTTTACAGGGAGTGAGTTTCACTTAACGTTGTATTTTCACAGATATATGCTAAATAGCAGAAGTCTTAATACTGTTAATCAGTATCTAATAATGATAATATTGTTGCAAATAAACTTTAAACATATGTATTATTAATTGTCTTTGAACCACGTAACTTCGACAGAACAAAGAAAGTCATTGGCTGATTGGTGACGCGTTATGCTCAAAGACCTTAGGCCAGTAGTCACGGAGGCCATTATAGTCATGACCGCTTTCTGCACATCGATGCCAGCACTAAAATACAATTTATAATGACATCGACTTCCACTTTAAAATCTAAACGCATTTCTTGCTAGAGCTGCGTAACATCTAGCAAACATCACAATAATATTGAATACTTTATAAATACTGTAATTGTGCGTTTTTGTTTATCATTGACAATTTGGATAAAATCGCAACAGCTGTTTTACACTACCTCGGTAGCTTACAGTAACTGTTTGCGTCCTTTAGCCTAACTCGTAGTAACGACCGCCAGAGGTCACTACACAACGCATGCATAATGCAAGCGTACAACAATAAAAACAAGCCTTGTATCATATGATTATAGAATTCATAATTTGATTTAAAAACACATTCAATGACATATAGTTTTATAACTAGAATTTTAGTATAGAATTTTAAAGTTTTAGTGTTTTGTTTCGACTTTTTAGTGTAATATTCTTAACATTTTTAACGCATTTAACAAAAATGTTTTGTAAGTTGATCAAAGTAAATACTTCTATTGTTATTTAAGTTGGAAAAATGAACTTACAATAAAGCAACAGTTAGCATGTCATGTCCGCGCACTACAATTTCATTTACTCATGTCTACATAGTTAATAAGTGACAACAGCTATTTAGGACAGAATGCAACAAACTCTGATCACATAAAGCATTAGAGGTTGCTTCGTTGGCCTCAAGCCCAAGTCGTTCACCGATGTGAGGCGCGTACGGACCCTTGATATAACATCGTTGACCTTCTACCAGTGGTCTGTGATTCATGGGGATTTGGATGCGTAGCGCGTGCGGCCGCGCCGGCCTTGCCTCGCCGACTATCGCGCATCAGCTGGGCCAAGGGGCAGGCGTGATCTGCATTCACAAAGCTCTAATGTGCACTCACCTTTATATTCAACACGACACTCTTAAGAAGATGCTCCATTAATTTAAAGAACATTAACGAATCACTATAACATATTAAAAGTCATCGCACGAAAATTTGACAAAAAGTATCGTAACATTATCGACATTTGTAGATTAGTGCAGCGATAAAGTACAGCATATTTCACAAGAACAAAATTGATTTGTATTCATTAAAAATTGCAGGGGTCAATACTAAAGATAATGTTCTAGTTAAAATATTTACTTGATGTTATCACCGCATTTAACAGTAATACAAAATTAAACAGGAAAATTTTATCACAAACATAAACTTTATGATAAAGTATAAGAAACAATTTACCAAACAAATCCAGTATAGGAGTGATTACAATGGACGAGTGCGACTACGTGAGTTTGCAAATGTACGTGTCGTTAACGTGGACATATTGTACACAAGTCTGTGTTGCGATGTTCACAACACGAAAATGCAATATGGCTGACTCATAAAATATTGATAAAACCTATACAAGATTATAGTATTTACTTGACAGATCAAGGGATTTGTTATTGCGTTTTGAAGAACCCAATGTTCCACTGAAACGCACAAGTTAGGAGTTATTAGGGCATAGTCGACCGCGCTAACAGCAGTGTAATCACATATTTAATTTCAAGTAAGTTTATTAAAATTAGATAAGGCTTAATAATTGAATTGTGTATTTGGATTACACTTGTATCGAGGGAAGGTACGTGTTTGATATATAGTTTGTGTTACAAGTAATAACAAGCAGTCATCTGTACTAAGGGTGACTCAAACTTTGACGAGCACTAAACCAGTTTCCTTCGAGATCCTCTCCCTCCCGCCACCTGCCGGCCCCTCGCGAAATCACTGACATCGATGTCAAGATATTTGTAATGCATTTTTTGATGAGGGTTTCTTGAGTAACTGTTTGTGTTAACAAATATTCTGTTGTTAACACTTATATGGTACTTTACCTTTATGTATGCATTTTCATAATGTTAAAGCGCAATGAAAATGTACTATACATTAATTTTTTTTAATTTTCTTTATGTAGCCGTGCTCAGTTTCAGATCCGATGCATTATTTTAAGAATTCCTATCGGAAGCACACATGCGACGACATAAACACTATATGTTTATTCGTCACGAAGCTCGATTTTTCCCTGTTTTTTAGTAAATATAATACAATATGTATGTGAAATCGCGACACACAGACACGCTATCGCTAGGCAATTATGCCGTATTGTTTAAAAATAATAAAAACATACAACTTTTTCAGTTTCTACGTTTGAATTAAGATTGTTATGTTTAAAGTTATAGGTTTCTATATTAAATTATACATGCATATAATATAAATATTGATTAACTTCCATTTAGATCCCTTTTGTCTTGGAAAAGGGTAAGTACCGTGGGCATGAGATTGATATTATAAGCAATTATGTAATTTAATCTCGATTAATGTTATAGGTCAAATAGGTAGATATAGGAACCAAGTTTTAAGACACCTAAAATAATACTTATTGACTATAAAAACCTTTTAGCCTGCGGTTTTGCAGCTATTAGTTGCTAGTCCCGACATCTATACTATTATAATAAAGCGTAAACACACACTTCTTTGTTGCCTAAGATGTCAGCAATTACAGCATAATTCTTTTTTTAATAAAAAGCCCTGCACTTTCCTCACGCTTTAGGCGAAATTTTTTCACGCCATTTAACTTAGGGGGTAAATATTTTGGATAAAAACCCTAATATGGGAAAGAGACCATAAGTTGCTGCCAATATCAAGAAGGCAAAAT